ATTCTCCAGCCAGCAGAGCTCTGCTGGTTGGAGAATTCTGGGAGTTGAAGTCCACAAGTCTTAAAGTTGCCAGGTTTGGGAACCACTGGCCTAAGGCGGGTGATTCAGTGATCCAGTTGACAAAGGCTAGTCTGGGGATCAGTCCGCTTAGAAAAATTCCTTCCAGGTAGAAAGTTCAAAGGCCAGATTGAAAAACAAACGCAGCCGAGCTGCCTAAAAGCTGCTCACCCTCTCCTTAGCTTACAATAAGATAATAGGGGGGAGGGTGGGAGGAGGAAGGGGGGGAATTACTTGAGGTGAAAGGTCCCTGAGATTGGCATCGGCTTTCTGGGGGATCGGGAGAATGGCCTGATTTGCTGGATTCAATCCAGGGATCTCCAGGTCCGCCTTCTGCTCCTCCAAAGATCGGCTGGTCTCACCTGCAACGGAGACATTAATTGCCATGAACCTGATGCAATGGAGTGAAACCAACCGCTCAAGGTTGGCTCCAAGAAAGAAAGAAAGGAACACTAAATCATTTCCTTCCGCGAAACCTCCTGGTTCCCACACAATTGAAAACAAAAACCCGCAACCGAAACAATGCTTGGAAGTTTGGGAGCTTGAAAAAGCCGAGACACATTTTAATTTCTCTAAAAACTACTTTGTCACAGTAGGGCCACAAAGCAGAATAACCCTTTACTTGGAAATCAGCCCCAGGTAGCTCCAGGGAGACGCAGAGCTTCTGCGCAGGCAGGTGGAGGATTGTGGTTTTAGGCGTTTCAAAAGGAACCCACTTCCATTACGCAACAGTTAACCTACGGCAGAAGATCTGGCAGGCGCTTACTTTTCCAGGGGTCGGCCATATTGGCGTACGTCCTGATCCCACAGACCACCAGGAAGGCAAAGAGGAAGAGGATGATGCTCCGCTGGAGGCGGGACAGTTGCTTCCATTTCTGAGGGCGAACATTGCAAAAGGAACCGTCAGCCTGCAAACACAGACGGACCCCAAACCCCTCTGCATGAGTGCCCCCCCCCACTCCCAAACATCATTGCACGCTGCCTACTCGCACCTCCCTGTTATCTTTGTATGCCAAGTATTACGGCTGCAATATTTGTTTGGATAGAGGAGGCGCTTCACAGCAGAATCAAAAGAACGAAACCCTTCTGACTTGGTGATTGATGGCAGGCAACAAAGGAGCCTCTCCAAGCCCAGGGTCAACCCACGTCTCCCCCACGACATGCCTCAGGAAAACAGCCACTGCTTCTCTCCTGCCCCTTGGCGAATACCCTCCTCCTCCTCCTCTCAGCGCCCTGCCTTGAATGAGGAAGAAATCCTTACGTACAATGCAATTCATGGCGCCTGGAACAAGGCTGCTGCCTGCCTCCCCTCCGCTCCTCCCGTATTCAGTGGGACGGCAGCTGCCCGACACGCACAACCACCTCTCCGCTCAATGTCTCAAAGGAGAAGCTCCTTGGAAGGCGAGCAACAGCTCGCGGTTACTTGCCACGCCCCTAAATGCGTCCTCTCTTTTCTCGAAATGATCCAGTAACGAGAAATGCACCTGCTGCCAGGGAACATTTCTCTGAAAAACAAAACTATCTAAGTGGAGGCAAAGCCTGTCCGTTTCCAGCCACGCTTTCAAGATCAAAGGCAGCGGAGTTTTAAAAACTGTGCGTAATTGGGTAACCGTTGACACACCCAGAGGCACCAAACTGGATTTTATGGCGTGTGAGATCCTGAACTTGATGGATTCTTAATCCACCCGCCCTATCCTTTGGTCTTAAAGAGAAGGACACAACTCCCATGTCCAGATGCAATCTATCTCAAGCTGTGTTAAATTTATATTTTACCGACAAAGAAATAAAAGGGAGACTAGTACAGACCTATTTCAAGCTATTTAGCTCTTGTCAGTTAGCCATACCTGCCATTGGGTAGCTGGAAAGAGCTAAATAGCTTGAAATAGAGCTATACTAAAGGTAAAAGTTCCCCTTGCACATCTGTGCTAGTCGTTCCCGACTCTAGGGGGCGGCGCTCATCTCCATTTCAAAGCCGAAGAGCCAGCGCTGTCCAAAGACAACTCCGTGGTCATGTGGCCGGCATGACTCAACACCCGAAGGCGCACGGAACGCTGTTCCTTTCCCACCAAAGGTGGTTCCTGTTTTTCTACTTGCATTTTTAGGTGCTTTCAAACTGCTGGGTTGGCAGAAGCTGGGCACAAGTCACGGGAGCTCACTCCGTTACTCAGCACTTGGGATTTGAACCGCCAACCTTTCTGACCGACAAGCTCAGCCTCTTAGCCCCTGCGTCTCTCAGATCTATACTAGTCTCCCTTTATTTCTTTGTTGGTAAAATATAAATTTAACACAAAAAAAGTTTGTCATGAAAGTGACTGCCTGCGAAGCCCCCTGGATTGGGGCTGAAAGCGGAAGCCGTATGTGCTCTGCCCCATATTTGGGTAGACCAGGTTCTACTCAAGAGCAGAAAGTTCTGGGGATCCTAAAGCTGCCAAACACCAGAAATATTTGACCAGGCGCCATAGGAATCACACACCTTTTGATCTGCAACAAACAGGAGTCCTTCAAAACCATATTTAAGCCTGTTGCAATCCACGGAGGAAACAGGTTTACTTTGATGGTCACTGACACTGCCCACCGTAGACCTCACCCCATTCCTCAGAGGTCCGAAAAGGGACTGCTCATAAGTGGACCAGCACACCTTCCGCCCCTCTCCTGCTGTCCCCGTTGATTTGTACTCCTTTCTTATGTACATACTTATACCTGCTTATTCTTCTACTGCTTATATGTTATATTCATACTTATACTTGTTTTCTCATTCATGCTTGACAAACCAAATGAAATAAACAAATAAATATGGATTCCACCCAGATTTTATGCCAATGACCCCTCTCCCTCCCTCCCTCCCTCCCTCTCTCTCCCTCCCTCCTTGGGCTCAGCCCACCTCCCCTGTAAAATGGGCCCATGAGGCTGGCTCATGCAAGGCTGGCGTTTTGCATTAACTCTTTTTCCCTTGCCTCCAATCCCTGCCAAAGTTTTCCTCCGCCAGCAAAAAGCAGAGAGATTTCACCCTGAGCCTTGATTGCCTCTTCCATTCTCTCTCTTTAGGCCTCGGCATTTCTCCCCTGTAAAATGGGCCCATAGGACTGGCTCCCCTCAAGACTGGCTGGCTCTCCAAGGACTTCAACCTTAAACTGTCTACCATGGACCTCTCCCCATTCCTCGGAGTCTGTACCGTCCCTGTCCTGCTGTCCCCATTGATTTGTATTCCTTTCTATACATGCACCTATACCTGCTTATTCCTCTACTGCTTATATGTTATATTCATACTTGTTTGCTCCTGACAAACCAAAATAAATATATGAAATAAACCAACGACCTGATGGGACTCTGCAAGGCCTCCCCTGCTAAAGGAGCGAGGCTTCTTGGTCTGTTCAGCCTGGCTGCCTTTTCAACACCGCCCCTCGGACAGCAAACCCCGAAGACACACGTCAGCAGCCGCTCCTGGCGCCTCCCAGCCCCACTTCCTTCCCAGGCCAGGGAAGGCTCGACCTGCGGGCTTCCCCCATCGTGCAGCGGTTACGCTCCGGGAAGGGGCCAGTCCCGCAGTGGCCCAAGCGCTGCAATTCCTACCCCGCCGCCAGGGGGCGCGGGGTAAAGGCCGCTCCCGCCCGCTGCCTCTCCCCTAGAGGGCGCCGTGGAGCCCCTTGCCCCGTCCCGACTCTATGGCTCCTCTCACCCGCCAGCAGGAACGCCTCCGCCAGGCCTTGCTGTTGTTGTAGCCGCCGCCGCCGCCGCCCGCCTGGAACTGGCCGCCGCTGAGCGTGACCGAGATGAAGTCCCGCCGCGGGGGGGACAGGAGTGGCGGCGGCGGCGGCGGCGGAGAAGAGGAGGAGGAGGTGGCGGCGTACATGGCGGCGAACGGTTTTCCTTCAGGAGCCGCGGAGCTCCCCTCCGCCCGCCGCCATGTTTCTTCCTGTTGCTGTCCGCGGCACCGAGAGGGGGGAAGCCTAGAGCGGCCGCGCAGGAACGTCGCGGACACCCTCCTTTCTTGGAGAGGTTAAGTTGCCACAGCGCCCTCTAGTCTTCCACTGGGAGAAGAGCAGGCGGCGGGTGAGCCGGATCAAAATAGCACGTGAGAACCGAAATTTGGCACGCTACGTGACCCAACCCTCAACTCTAGGAAGGGAATCCACGTGACTCTCTGAAGGCCTCCCATCCCCTCTCCAAAGCCAATGTTTTGTTCCTCTCCTAGCCAGCCTGATGCTTTGTATTCTGTGCTGCCCTTCCTAGCTGATTCTTAAGGCTTGTAAGGAAGATGAAGAGAAGAAGACAGGAGCATCTTTGGAAGGCAAATTGGCGGCATCAAAAGTGATAATGTGCCATTAAAACTAGCGCCCCCTCCCCACCTTGATCAAATCTCCAGCCAACCCCCTTAATGTTCTGACGGAGGCTTCCCAAGAGCCTGAAGCAAATTCCTGATCCCCAACTTTTATTAATTTGCTATGGATTCTGCTCATTCACCTCTAGCAAAGTCTTTCAAGGGAGGATTTACAGTCACAGACCTTATCTCCCTTGGAGAGCTGCCAGGCCGATCTCTGCAGAACTTGGCAAGGAGCCTCGGAGAGCCATGAACCAATGAAGCGAACTCATGGTCTCCTGCAAACTCCACTCCCCTTTGGCTCCTCTTTTACTTCCTCTGGGAGGGGCCATTCACCGTCCACCTGTGGTATTACTCCCAAGTCAACCCCTTGTTCTTTAGCTGTTCCCTTTGTCTGGCCGCACATGCGCACACTGGGAACAGGCTCCAGCTGTTCTTCTGCCTCACTGATGTCTGACTACAAAGGCAGCTTATAACTGGCATACGGCCATGACCCCCTCTCTGCCTCCGACGCAGAGCCCAGACTCCGGGACTGGCCCATGCTCTTCTCCAACCCCCCGAATCTGCCACCAGCTCCATTAGCTGCTGGAGGGCGACAGCACAGAGCTTAAAAAAAACCAGACAATTATTGCTCAATGTTAATATCAAAGTTGGCCTGAGACAAACACAGGTAGTCCTTGACTTACAACAGTC